CAGGGCCTGAAGCAGAGCCATAGCAGGGAACATGCACTTGCTTTAAATCAGCTTGGTATCACTGTGACACCGGTGCAGGATCAAGTGCTGCAAGCTGAGCTGCTCTCTGTCACTCAGTTTGATTTTGTGGCCTTCAAAGGTTTTCTCTTATGCCAAGAATTCTTCCACTCACTGTTTCATGTCTAATCCATACTTCAAACTTCTGAGGACTTCTAATCCAGGCTTCAAACTTCTGAGGACTTCTAAATTCAAATGTCCCAACTTCGGTCCTGGCTTGAGAGAAATCAATATGGTTTGTGCCTGTGTCAGGCTTATGCAAGTATAAAAGCTTTGTTTCTAAAAAAATATTTTTATATTTCAGGTCATCTGATGAATCCCATGTTACCTTTGACGTGGATTCTTTTACAAAAGCACTGGACAGAATTTTAGGTGAGATTGCTTCTTTATTTGAAATAAATCCCTGCCCTGATTTCTTTGCTGTTGTACTGACACAAAATAATGTCCAGGGGCGGACTCGGAGGAGCTGGATTCTGATGATCTGGATGAAGAGGAGGAGTTTGGTTTCTCAGATGGGGATGATGCAGACCTGGCTGCTGGGGATCAAAGGCAGGAGCAGAAGGTGTCTCCTGAGGAGCTTGTGGGCAGTCTCAAGGCATACATGAAGGAGATGGACCGTGAGCTGGCCCAGACCAATGTTGGGAAAAGTTTTACCACCCAAAAGAGAGGGGTGAGTGTGCCCTGAGCTCTGGTTTGGAGCAGTAATTTCCGAACAGGAAATGTGCTGCAAGTGGCCATTCTGAGTAATGTGATCAGAACCTTCCCCCGTGCAAGCAAAGTGTGCTGTACCTGCGCCATAATATGTTTTTTCAAACAAAAACTTACCTAAGCTTTGAATTCACCCATCTTTTCCAAGACTTAGTTCCGTTTCCCTGTTTTTAGTAGTAGGGCAAGCAGCTGCAGCTTCACTTGTGAGTTCCTGTAGTCGTTTTCTCCCATAGGAAGCTGAGCCAGGACTCAGGAACACTTTCTGTCCTTCTCTTGGAGTCTAATCTGGGTAATGGACAGTGGGGATTTTCAGCTGGCATGAGCATTTGGTGGCGGAATTCCTGTCTGTCAAGACTCTGGAGTGTACTGGACTTTGTTGGCTGCAGAATTGTTGCAGCCAGTTTCTCCTGTGATTTGCCTTTTCTCCTGTGATTTGCCTTTTTTTCCCTTCAATCTGCTGATGCAATTTGAAAACCTTTCTCTTTGTACTCGCTGCAGGCAAGTTCTGTTGAAGCAGCCCCGTCTGAGAGTGCTGGCCCTGACTGTGGAGCTGAGGATGCTGAGCTGACCCCTGTGGATGTGGACATGAACCTGGTGGCAAACCTGCTCGAGTCCTACAGTGCCCAGGCTGGCCTGGCAGGACCCACCTCGAACATTTTACAGAGCCTGGGGGTGAATTTGCCTGAGAACACAGAGCTCACTGGCAGCTGAGCCATGCAGGGAGAGGCTTTGGACAAGACATGGCTGGTGGGGAGATGAAGCACAGACAGACGGGCAGGATGTGGAAGAGGAGGCCAAAGGTTTTAATTTAGAGCATTCTGTTCATTATGTGTCACTTCAGCAAAGTGAATTTACCTGCAAAAGCCTTCTGTTTGGACACTGTCTTGGATGGAAATGAGATTTTCCCAGTGCTAACACATTTTTAGAAAACTGAAACATTATGTTGAATTAATTACTCAAATGAGGTTGTCTTTTATTACAAAACCACTCTTCCATTTTTCCAATCAGTGATCCAATTTGCCACATTTCTAAAATGTCCTTTCACCCATTGCTGAGTGGGTTCAATATCTGGGAAGCAGTTCCTGTTCTGAAAATGCTGCTGCCTTCAGGGAGAGGTGGGGAAATACCACATTGCAGGAAGAGTCTCGTGGATTTGGGAACACTGGTGAAATGTTGGGCAGACATTTAATCCTTCCCAAGGGCACGATGCTGCATTGTAAGAACTTCTGACAATTACTGTAAGAGCCTGTTGCTTGTTAAGCACAAGGATTTGAACAGTAATTGGATCAAATGTGTAAATACTGGCCAGAAGCATTTTTACAATTTATTTCAATAAAAACAGAAATACAGCTTGAGTACTGATTTTTTTTCAAAGGTATGCATAACTTCCTCAGTGCGGTATCAGTTCTTGGAGTGAAAGCTTTTTCATCCTTGGTCATTTTCTGAATGAATTCCATTATTGCTGAACGTTGGTGTCATGCCAGCAGTAGTGACTCATGCCAGTGAGTCCAGGCTGAACTGTTTGGGTTTTTTTTCAGTGCAAATGTGGCTAGAAGGCATGCAGCATGTTCCTTCATGAATGAAAAATCTATTTTAAATATGCCAACTTTTGTTTCAGCAAGATAAATTTGAAATTACATCATAATTCTTGGTATACAGACACCAGCAAAGCAGTCCTGCCAGGTCTAAATCAGCTTCTCAATTTATCTTTTTTTTTTCTTTCATTCAGCAGTTAATGAGTTTTCCTCCACTGATGTTGTGTAATTTACTTTGTCAGCAGTTCAGGGAGAGTACTAGCAGGTTGGACAGGGATTAGAGATGGACAGCAAGAGCTTGGAAGTGCGAAGAAGGTTCTGCTAAATTTCAAGGAATTTGGACTGCTCAGAGGTGAGAGACTCAGACAAATCTATGGTGGGAAAATGGGGTTAACAGAGTTTTTTTAGTTTAGACAAGGATAATGAGGAGTTGGTGGTGGAAAACAGAGGTACTTAAACCTTGGGAAGGGTTTGTGTTTCACCAGGGAAGGTAATCAACACATAAAATTCTCCACTGATGAGTAGTTAGATCAAGTTTAGATACTTTAAAACATAACTGAGTTTAAGAACATGATCACATTTAACTGCTGTGTGGCCCGTGCCATACAAAAGGTCCAAATAGATGGAAGGACTCTTCTAGTGCACAAGGAGGACTGCTAAGCTGAGGTTCAGAACAAAGCTGGTCTTTGGAAACACTCCAGCTGAGGTTCAGAACAAACCTGCTCTTTGGAAACACTCCAGCTGAGGTTCAGAAAAAAGCTGCTCTTTTGGAAACACTCCAGCTGAGGTTGCTGCTTGGATAATCTCACTTTTCCATCAGTGGGACTGGGATTTCTCTGGGGCTGTGCTTATCCCAGCTATGTACAGGCTCTGGAAGTGCTCCCAGGAGGGTTTGTCATGGAAGAAGAAGCATTTCCATGCTGCCTCTTCCACTGCTTTGAGGTAACACACAAGGCGTCTCTGCTTTTAATTCTGAGAGTGTTTTTAGTGAAGGAAGCCTGATGGAATTAGGGAAGACAAGTGTGGTGTGGTTCTCTTTCAATGGATTTCTATTGAAGTATATTCTGAAGTTGTTTAACTGGTTAATTTTCACTTATTGTGTGTATGTCAACTGGTGGAATCCCCATTCACCTGCAATACCAAGGGTATCAATTGCAAGAAACTGCCTTGGCCATTATTTCAGGGATCTCAATGGATGTGGAATCCCCATTTTCTTTCTTAAACAGAACAGGGAACACCCTTTATGATGTGATTTTATTGGTTTGAAATGAGAGCAAACCTTCAATTTTCATAATCTCTTAAGTTTAAATTTATAAGGAATCTCGGTTGTGCCTTATTTTTTAGGGTTTAAATCGGTAGAAATCCCCACTGATTTCATAATTTGAAGGATTTATATTGAGGGGCAGAAAAAGGGCTGGGAAAAAAGCAACAAAAAAGAGCAGGGGGTGGGAAAGAAAAAGGTGGCAAAAAAGGGCAGCAGAAAAATAGGGTGGGGAAAAAAGGGTGGCAAAAAATGGTGGGGGGAAAAAGGTGTAAAAGGGAGAGGGAAGGGTGGGGAAAAAAGGGCAGAAAAAAGCAGGAAAAATGGGGCAAAAAAAAGGCAGCAGAAAAAGATGGGGGAGAGTGAACAATGGAGATGGAGTAACAGTGAAAAGGTGACATTTAAGAAGCAGGAAAGCCGTAGAGAGGTGAGGAGAAAAGGGTGCGAAACATGAGCAGAAAAAGGATGGGAAATGTGAGGGAATAAGAATGGGAATCTCAGAGACACCCCCACACCCCAGGCCCTTCTCCCAAATCCAAGGAAACCCCTCCAAACCCCACAGACACCTGGCCTGGATTCCTACAGGAATACTGGGTAACAACTCGGCTCCTTGAAACAGGATGGAAACAACCTCCAGGGGTGGGAATGTGTGCCCACTGTGCTTCCAGGCTGGGATCACCTGTGTGGGGCCCTGCCGTGGGAGCGTGTCCTTAACAACTGCCAGGCATCTGGGCTGCAGCTGGAGCTGCGAAGCAAAGGGTTTAATTTAGTCCATGCAGGAGAACATCCCATCGTGTGGTACTCCTGCAAAGTGTGGGTGTTTGGAACAGAGCCTCTCCTTCAGCAGGCCAACGCTCCCAGATGGAAATTCACAGGGGTACGAGGCTGAGAAGTGAAGAGCAAAGCTGCTGGAAGGTAAAGCTCACAAAGAAAAAGATCCCCAGAAAAGAGTGCACTTATTTTTATAACAAAGTTTCTAGCGGAAGTTTCTGGGCTCCAGGTGAGCCATGGAATAGTTCAGCAGTGTCAGAAACAGCACATCCACTCTTGGCCAGGAGTTAGGCTTAGAGTTAGCAGCTAACCCTAAAACTCTTCCCATGGCACTGGCAGTGGCTCCTGTCAGGATGTTTTACCCAGCAGAAATCCAAGGTAACCACAGGCTGTGTTATCTGCCTGTACAGTGAAACTTGCATCGTCATTCCCATTTAACCTCCTGCTAACCAGGTGCAGCTGCCCTCCTGCCTGTGGCTGCCCTCTGACTGCTGGGTCTCAAAGGCTTTGTTACACCACAGGGATCCAGATGCTCATAGAATCTCTAGCACTGCTGTAGAAAACTGAATCTATGCCTTGTAAAAGTGTACCTTAGGTCAGCACTGACAGCTGTACATCAGAAGGTGATTTTCTGACTGAATCAAAACTTTAGAAAACAGGAGACCTTACACTGATGAGAATTATTTATTAGAAATTGTAGTTGTTTTCCACTCCAATTCCCATGCCTAACACAGATACCTTTCCCCCTTTCAGTCCAAGAAGAAATCTTGATGAAAAACTGTGTTTCAAAGTCACTGTCACCCCTGCAGAGAGGCCTGGAGCTTTCCTTACCCCATCCCCAGGGGACTGTGAGCTGCCCTCCCCAGCAGCAGAGGCCACACGTGCCCTCCTCAGTTCAGAAGTCAAAGGTGCCCCTTGACAGAGCACAACCTTGTACGGTGTGGTATTCACATGCCCTCTGAACAGAGGGAGACTTTGCTTTCTCAGGATTTCTCCTGAGAGAATTTCTGAGAGCAGCAGAGAAAAGAGAATCAAAACAATTATTAACTCATTCGTTGTTCTTGTTTGTGCCCATGTGAAAATGTGGTCTGAATATTGTTTCCCCAAGGTGATTGCTTGATTGGATTCTGGTGATGGTGTTTTGGATTCATTGACCAATTGGACCCACGTGTGTGTTGGGACTCTCAGGAGAGAGTCATGGGTTTTCTAGTTAGTTAGTTAGTGACAGTTCTTGTTAGTGTAATACAGTGTAATATAATGTCCCTGACTGAAAGGCGAGATGTATTCCATTTGCCATCTCTATGGCAGTTGTCTTCTGTTCAGTGGGCAGTTTTCCTTATCTCTTCCACAACCAATCCTCTCTCAGGGGAGACACCTGCTGGTAACGGGCTACTGAATGTCACCGCGTGACTGATAAGAACAACAACATCCCATTGTGAGATGCTCCACCCAGAGGGTGTAAGGAAATGATACCAGGAGAAATTTTCTCCCAACACTTTAAGAATCTCTTTAGGTCTGTCCCACCAGTTTTTGAAGGGTTCACATCCACTCTAAATACTAATGATATAATACAGTGGCTGGTGTTGCTGTTTTCGGCATTTAGAGACAAGGGAAGATTAACCTGGATAACCACCCTGACACCTGCCCCAGAACCTGGCACGGCACCAGAGACCAGGGATGTTGCTGTCCCAGAACCTGCCCCTGCCCCACAGCCCACCCCAGATATGAAGACCCAGATTGGGTGGGGGGTCTAGTGAAGGAGATGTGCAAGATGCTGAAGGAGTGCACTTCCCCAGCTGGTGAGAAGCCCTCCCCTTGCCTCAAAGAGAGAGAATCTAACAGTGCAGCTGTAGAACCCACAGATGTTACAACTGTCCAGGTTCCAGCTGAACTGCAAAGGCAGCCACAGCCAGCAGCAGTTGCCCCTGTAGAAACAGGGAGATCTAAGCTGAAATCAGAGCACTCAGACAGGGGAGGGCCCTCACAACCCATAGCGGACAACACCAGGTTGGCCCCTGTGTTCCCCACTGAGAAGGTTCCATAGCCCTGCTGTGGGCAGCAATCCCATAGGCATGGTAAGGTGGGGGCAAGAAAGCCACACCAGAGCTCTGTCATTCCTCAGGTGCCTCTAAATACAACAGGGACTAGAAGGCAAGGCTGGCTTGGCCCCTGTACTCACCACTGAGATACACCTGCTATGGGCAGCAGCCCCACAGGCACGGCAGATGGGGGTAAAAAAGCCATACCAGACCTCAGTGATCCCATTTGGTCCATTCCAAATAAGTGTGTCTAAAGAACACCTGAGATGTTTTCCTTCTGTTCCCACTGTCCTTGCCCACATCAACAGATGCTAGTATGACTCATTAATTTATTTTAGAGGAGTAGGTTATCAGAATTCAAATGAGAGTTAATTGTTTGAGCCACATGACTCATAAGAAAGGAAAATTGTGGTTTGTTATAGATGAATGATGTGATGGGTGGCTCTCACAATTAAGAGATAGATATGACGTGTATATTAGGAGAATTTTTGTACATGTATAGTGCTGTTACTGTAATATGACCTCCCACAGTGCCCTTTCCCCTCCTCCTTGTGACAGCCTCAGCAGCCCAGGGCATTTGGGGAGGGCTGGTTTATAACCAGGAGGGGCGACAGGACAGCACCTGAGCTCCAGTCGAGATGTAAGGAAGTGATCTGCACCAGTGCACGGCAGAGAAGGGTTCACTGACACAGCTTTGGGAGGGGCTGAGGGTATAAAAGGCAGAGCACCATTTTGTAAATGGGCACGTGGCTGATAGTCCCAGAGAACCCAGTGCTGTAATTTTTTCCTTAGTATTGTATGATATGGTTTAATGAACCTTTGAAATTTTGAAAGTGAGGGTCGTTCTCACATCTTCCAAGGACCATCCTAAAGTCTCAACTTCAGGCCAGTTTGTGATGATTTCCAGGAGTCCAGGGAAATTTGCATTCCCCAGTCAAGCTTGTTCTATAATGTTATAATTTACAAATATAGGTATTGGCTTTCACATTTATGTACATACTTTAGTTTTTCAAATTATTGACCACAAGAATCCCGATATACTACACATTGTAATTACTGTTTTTAATATAGTATAACCTGTTACTTTATGTATGCACCATATAGCTTCTATAAATAGAGGTGTAATAGATACTGTCTTAGAACGTAGAATAATAGAGACTATGAAATGCTGAAATTATTGTTTCATGTAACTAACTCAGAAAATGATGTAAAATAATTGATTTCCCATATTTGGAGACTTGCTTATCTGAAAGACACGGTAACAGAAACAGAAACAAGAACGCTGAAAAAAACCAATTATTGACCCTCATTATCAGGGAGTGAAAATACAACAAGATAGAACTACAAGAAAACATAAAATATATTGGTTTAATTAGACAAGATAGCATGAAGACAAGTCAAAGGTTAAAATCAAACAAAAGAATATGTTAATGCAAAGGAAAGTCATATTATATAAACATTTAAAATATTTATAAATAATTTTTATGTCTATACTAAAGATATTTATAGAAAGTTTTATAAAAAGGGTGGATAGAGAGCTGTGTTTCTCACATATAATGAGAGCAATCCAGTCACTGCAGGTAGCACCAGTGGCAGGATATATTGCAGAGACTTTTCCCCTGAACACCCAGCCCAGCGCTGGCACTGGGGATGAACAGGCACTGAGGTGACCCTGAGAGTCAGTGCAAGGCACAGGGTGCAGCTGAGGAAGGACAGCGCTGTGCTGGGCTCACAGCTGGAGCTGGCACTGCCCAGCATGGACAAGGTCCTTTCCGCAGCCCTGTCACAGGGCAGCCTGGGCCTTGCTGCAGACATACGGCCGCTCATTTGAGCAGTTCTCACTCCTGAATCTGTTCTCAGCCAGGTACACACACTGGGAATTGCCAAAGACAGGAACCCTGCAGGGAGGAGCAGAGACAGCGCTGGTTCCCAGGGGAACACCTTGTGCCCCTGTCCCCCCAGGCCCTGCCCGGCTCCCCGGCACTCACCTGGAGCTGTAGCTGCTGCCGTCCCCCCAGTGCAGGCGCTCGCCCCGTCTGCGCAGCCCGATCCAGTAATCCACGTTCCCGCAGAGGCAGAAGAGCAAATCCTGCCCAGGAGAGAGGAGTGGGAGCTGCCCCGGCCCCTCGGGGGGACACGGGCCCGGGGCTGCCCCCGCACGCCGGGGCTCCTTCCCTGCAAGGCCCCGGCACAGGGCTGCACCCCCAGCCCTACGAGCACCCAGCCCGGCCCAGGAGCACCCCCAGGCTCCCCTCAGCCACCCCACACCGCCCGCAGCCCCTCACTCACCATGGCCTCATCCTTGAGAATGGCCAGGGAGGCCCTGAGCTCGGAGCACCGTTCCTGAGCCTGCTCCCAGCTCCTGGAATCCCTTGACAAGTAGTAGCAGACCCCATTGTACCCAACCCAGCCATGGGGACAGCCCAGAACCAACTGCGCAGTCGCAGGTGTGACTGGAACCTGTGGTGCTGGAGGGGGAAGAGGAGAAGGTCTGAGGATTCCCCTCTGCAGGGAGCAGGGACCCCGCTCTGCCCCGAGGGGCTGGGCCCAGCCTGCTGCCCCTCCCTTACCTGACTGCACAGCCAAGGCCACCCCCAAAGCCAGCACCAGCACCAGGAGCAGCAGAATCAGCACCGTCGTGAGCACAGGATGGGAGCTGAACCATTCACCTGGAGCAGGAAAGAGCTGCTGGCTGCCAGAGCCAGACCCGGCCCTGCAATCTGCTCACCCCGTGCCCAGGGAGCACAGGAGGGACCCCTCAGCCACTGTGCCCCTCACTCAGCTGGCAGCCAGAGAGCCAAGAGCTGGGCACAGGCAGGGACACAGCTGTGGGGACAGCCAGGGACACAGCTGTGGGGACAGGCTGCAGCAGGAGACCTGCACAGCCTTGGGGGCAGCTGGGGCTCTTGGTTCCAGCCACTGCTGGGGCCCAGCAGAGCACGAGGCCTCTTCCAGACATCGGGAAACAGCCACACACCTGCCAGCCCTGGCCCTGGGAGGGACACTGTCCCCTCCCTAGAGTCCACAGGGGTGGCCCAGCACTCACCCAGGAATCTTCTGAGTGGATTCGCTGTTGCTGACCTGTTCTCCAGGGACTCATTCACCCCGCCATGGGTGGTGCAGAATTCACTCCCCTCCAGCTCACAGCCCTCATCTCTCTGCCAGGAACAAACAGCACCTTGCTCCCGAGCCATCAGGAGTGCTGACAAAGCCTCTCGGAGATCGCCTCGGGAACAGCTTTACACCGGCGGCGATGGCACCCTGAAAGGGACACGATGCGAGGTCACTGCTGGTCCCGGCCCCGCGGCACACCGAGGCTCAGCAGGGCGGTGCCGGCTCTGGCTGTGCTGTCCCCGCTCCCAGAGCTGCGGCAGCAGCTGCGGAGACAAGCGCAGCCTCCGGGAGCTCTGCGCTCCCCGCAGCCCCGGCCCCTGTGGCTCTGCAGCCGCTGCAGCCCAGCTCCGGGCGGCACAGCCGCTCTGGCTCCCTGCCCGTGGCCGTGAAGCGGCTCCTGGCACAGAGGGCAGCGCCGAGAAGCCTCGGCCCGGAGCGGGCAGCGTGCGGCGCTTTCTGCCCCCGCTCGGCGCCCGCAGCGCTTCGGGCTCTGAGGCACGTTCAGCTTCATCCCGCGGCAGCCCCGAGCCGGGCACGGACACCTCCCGCCCGAGCAGCGGCCCCAGCCCGCAGCGAGCCCCGAGCTGGGGCACGACCGACCGCGGGTCCCACCTGGGCCGGAGCCGCCTCCGAGCTCCGCCGCCGCCCCGCCGGGCTCCGGTGCCGGACAGACCCAGCGGGCGCGGCCGCTGCCGCCGCACGGTGCCCGCGGTGTCTGTGCGGGAGGATTTTGGGAGTGTGGAACCAAAGCGCCCGGGGCAGCAGCGGGGCAGGTAGGAGAGGAGCAGAGGGATGGAGCCTGTTAGGGAGTGAGTGAGCGAAAAGTGTTCGGCAGCGAGCCCGAGGCAATCGGGAGGAGCCTGGCCGGGATCCACGGCATTCAGGATGTGTTTCCGGGGTCTGCAGTAACAGCTGGCGAGTGAGGCTGCCAGGGGAGGGACTTTGTTAGTTGTTGTTTGTATCTGGAGACGGGCTGGAGGGAGATGTGTTGTTTGGAGGCGTCCTGTGCCGTGGTGATCATGATACCACAGTGTTCTCGATATTTGGTGATATCGGGAGTAGCATCAGTACAAATTTTGTACTGGGCTTCGGGACGGCACACTTTGGCCTATTTGGGAGATTTACTCAGAAAGTTCCTTGGGAATCAGCCCTTAAAACCAAAGGAGTCCAGGAAAGTTGGCATGCTTCAAAGCAGAGATCTTGAGGGTACAGGAACAGCCTGTCCCTGAGTGCCCAAAGATGAGTCAATGAGGCAAATGTGCAGCCTGCATGGGCAATGAGGTTTTGAAGGAATTTAGGAATAAAAGTAGGTCATATCAGCTTTGGAAGGATGGTCAGTGTCTTGGTTTGAAAAGACAGGAGTCTGAGAAGGAAGGAAAGAGCCTCCTGTGAAATGGAAAAGGTAAGCCCCCTCTCTCTGAATTACCACAATTTCAAAATTAAAAGGCTCTCAGGCAAAGATATGGGAATGAGAATAACAGTTCTTTACTAGGAGAAAAAGTAAATTTTATAAAAATATAATTAGTACAAACAAAACTACTGATAGAGTCAGAAACCTGACACCCTGAGGAGTCAGGGTGTTGGTAATAGTCCAGTTAAATGCTGGCTGTTCCTCCTGGAGTGGCAGATGAAATGCTGCTGAAGTGGTGATCCTGTAGAAGGGTGGAGTTTTCTCTGAAGGTCTGGTGATAGAGCAGATAGGCCTGGTCTTCTTCTGGGGATTTAGCGGGGAAGAAGCTGCTCCTCTGGGAATCCAGGGAAGGGGCTGCTCTGATGTCCCAAAAAATGCTGATTTTATGCAGGTAAGGATGCTTGGCTCCTCCCTCTGGGTGGAGCATCTCACCATGGGATGATGGAACTTTCCCAGTCATGCAGTGAGTCATTCCATGGTCCATTAACAGAAGACATCCCCAAGGGAAACATTGTTCTTGGAAGAGATAAGAAACCTGCCCAACCTCCAACAGATGGCAAATGGAATACATGCTTATCTTACAAGCCAGGACAAACACAAGCATATTTATGTCAGCTATTTATAAGTTTAAGTTAACAACAGAAATATAAACTATATATTTTTAGCAAAGTTACTTTAACACGACAAATATAGAATCCATTTTAATATTTACAAAAAGCCAATACTATAATATATATCTATAACACAGTGTTAATTTTTAACACTTCACCTGAAATCATTGTTTTCCAGTTGATTTTGGTGTTGAAACCATTCAGTGTAGCTGCTCTCCATACAAAGAAACCTTTAGACATGTTTAATCTTACTGCCAGTAGAAGAGAATTTTCGGTAATTTCTGCAGTTTGTAGTAGTAGTCTTAGTATTTCTGTGCTTCAGCAGTGTTCATCCAGCCACACTTCATGGAAAAACAGAATTCCCAAAACCCAAATGATTCAAGTTTGATGTAAAGTGTTTCTCTATTTTATGTTCTTTTGTATGTCAGAGAAGATTTGGGTTTAAAAGATGAAAATCTGCCTCTGTTAAAAAAAAAAAAAAAAAAAAAAAAGAGAAATTTTACTTCTATGGAACCCCAATTTTACCTCAGATGTCTATGATTCCTTTTTTTTTATTTTTCTTTCGCCCTGAATGTGAATGCAATTTTCAGCACCAGCTGGGCTTTGTGGGAAATGCTGTTGAGTGCCCACAAGAAAAGTTCCTCATGTTAGCGGCTCAGACCATGGTGAGGTTTCAGCATTTCCTCCTGTCAGGTGGGATCTGAAGGCCCTGAGGTGGCCTTGTCTCCTCAGAGATTTCCTGCCCTGAGGAAGCAAAGGCTGATTGAATGTGCCTGATCCTCTCCTGTCTAATGGGGAGGAGCAGCAAACAGCAGAGCTGGAATCACCTTCTCTGCTCCTGATTTCTCCTGCCAACAGATCTCTTGGCTCTGCCAGCCCAGAAGTCACTTTTCCTTTGGGATGGATGGCCTGAAGGCACCCAGGTGCTGCAGGGCAGCCCTGCTTCAGAAATCCTTTTGCCTTGGAAGCATCCTTCTACCTAAGAGCTGGATTTGGAAATAGATGTAGTGAGGCCAGGGAGCTAACTCAGAAATGTCAGTAGGATCCCAAAGAAAAAGATCCCCAGAAAGGAGTGCAGTTATTTTTATAACAAAGTTTCTAGCAGAAGTTTCTGGGCTCCAGGTGAGCCATGGAATAGTTCAGCAGTGTCAGAAACAGCACATCCACTCTTGGCCAGGAGCTCCCAGCTCTTCCCATGGCACTGGCAGTGGTTTCTGTCAGGATGTTTTAACCAGCAGAAATCCAAGGTAACCACAGGATGTGACTTTATCTGCCTATACAGTGAAACTTGCTTTATGGTTCCCATTTAACCTCCTGCTAACCAGGTGCAGCTGCCTTCCTGCCTGTGGCTGCCCTCTCACAACTGGGTCTCAAAATCCAGAGATAAACTGCAGGGACTGTTAGACCACAGGGACTCATTTGCTCATAGAATCTCTAGCACTCCGGTAGAAAACTAAATATTTGCCTTGTAAAAGACAAATATTAAGTCAACACTGACAGCTGTACATCAGAAAAAGATTTTCTGTTAGGCTGAACAAAAACTTCCTTAGAAAACAGACTGTACATTGATGAGAATTATTTATTAGCAATTACAGTTGTTTTCTGTGAAAACCGCCATTCACTTGTGTTAAAATTTTAGAAGTTTAATAGTAAGGAAAATAGTAATAAAAATTAGGACAATACGAGGCAATAAAAAGCAAAGAACTACAGAGGTCTGGATGCCTTGCACTCTGCCTCAAAGCACGCCTTGCTAACACAGGATTACCCCTCAGAGCAATAACCTCTTGCATATTCATATATCTCATACATGATTCAAACATTCCTTTCAAACTGGGGTGTTTCTGCTTAGTTTTAGCTTCCCCCCCATCTTGTGAATCAATTTTCTTGGCTCCTCGAAGTCTGAGTGTTCCAGATAAGCAGGCAATAATTCTCTTGGAATTTTGGTGTTTTGTTGCTGTTATCTCTATCTTAATAGGATAATGCAAAGAATCTCATGATTATCTTTTCCATTTCTTACACTTGTTACAAAAAGTATCTTACATCACATATTTTAATATTATGCTATAGCTAAAAGACAATATTTACCACACTACTTAAAAAATATTAATAGCACTACTACTTAAAAGAGATTAATACAGCATAACTTTCCAACATAACACATATAGTATTAATACTTGTGAAAAGCCAATCATATAATGTGCATCTGTGACATTTTCCACTAAAACTTCCATGCATAACACAGACCGCTTTCAGTCCGAGAAGAAATCTCGATGAAAAACCGTGTTTCAAAGTCACTGTCACCCTGCAGAGAGGCCTGGAGCTTTCCTTACCCCATCCCCAGGGGACTGTGAGCTGCCCTCCCCAGCAGCAGAGGCCACACGTGCCCTCCTCAGTTCAGAAGTCAAAGGTGCCCCTTGACAGAGCACGAGCTCCTAAGGCACTGGGGTAAGGAGTTGTCAGTTCCCAGCCCAGCATCCCATGGTGATGTGAGGGTGAAAAATGCCACGCGTGCTGTGCACTAGCAGCGATCCTCAATCCATCTTTCCAGCGCTCTCCTTGGAGCTGCTCAGGCTCCTGGGGAAGACAGGCCAGCCAAACGTGCTCAGTCTGGTCCTTGCAGGGTGAGGGGCACGAAGCAAGAATGCAGCGTGGTCTCTTTGACCTTTCCTGTAGCAGGATTTCTGAGAGAGACAGGACACGATTTATATTTGGAGTGAAGGTGGAGCTACCCCAGCCTAGGCCTCAGTCACGGCCTCAGTGAGGCCTTTGAAGCCTCTGGCACAGTTGGAAATTAGTCTGTGCACAGTTAGCAATTATGTTAAGGTGGAAGCAGAGAGCAATGGGCTTTCTGGGTGTGATTTAGTATATATAGGTCTGCAGTGTGAAACTTTAACCACCTTAAGACAAAGACAAACAATGTTTGCTTGTCAAGGAGAGTGTGCTCACAATTGTAAACTATATTCAAGTGTATATAAACGGCCATCTTATAAACAATAAACAGAGAACATTTGATTAACCCCATTGTTTCATATCTATGTCTGTCCTGTCTAGCCTGACGATTAATACGAGGTCTCTTGCATTATCTGGTGCCACGAACAAGGGACTCGGAAGACTCCAATGAGTTCCCAAATCACCTTCATGGCAACGGGGGACTGTCCCCAAATCGTGTAAAAAACAGGACGGGGGACACAGATGGCTCTGGATACACGGCTCCGTGCATCCCACTGCTGTTCCACCTCGAAAAACAGAAAAAAAAAAAAAAAAAATACACACACACACACCCACCCACCTGTGTTTGTGTACGTGTCACTGCCCAGCTCTGCTGGCTGGAGCTGCCCCTGCCTCTCTGTGTGCGCTCTGCTCTCGTAAGGAGAAGAATTTGCCTCAATGTATAAGTTTCCCATAAGGTGGATGTAAAGTTGTGTACAGTGATTTCCATCAAATTTAATAGTGTTGAAGTTCCCATTGAATTCCCATAAACAGGGGTATCTGCAGTCACTGTGATCCACTGCTGTTCCAACCCACGCTCCCCAAAAACTGCTGCCATCAGAACGGGGTGCTAGGCCAAGTGCTAAATGTTGCCTTTAGGGGAGGCAACGTCGACCTGGTTGCAAGGCGACAGCACGGCAGCCCGGCCTCGTCTGGGCTACTCGGGCTAACGACAA